ACATTCCACGACTTGACCAGATGCATGCCTTTGGCTGGTACGATTCTGCATGCTTCAACTAGAGTCATTTGGTTCTAATATTAGGATTTTTTTTTCTCGCTGGGGAACAACCCCTTAATGCAAATTAGCAAATACTCATCCGGCTCTGGGAAGACGACCCACGGTATCCTTGTTGAGTGTCCTCAACCATCCGAGCATGCAATATACTGATCTTTTATTTCTCTACAGCATGGAAGCCAAAATGTTATTAATAGTTATAATAGTTTTAGGCTGGAGTTTCCTGTATTTGCGGCTACTGATTACCAGGGGCCCTTTGTCGACTTAGCGCATCGCAGTGGCTCCGATACGAAATAAGTAAGACCCGTAAGGCCACCTTGCTTAAGTTTCGGAACCGATCGTATTGTGGATCTCCGGAGCACAATCTATCCAAATCCGCAATAGTCACTTCCTGCTCGGCCCGGACGTGGTAGCCACATGGCTCTGGTTCTCTCCACACTATCTCATTGATTTTCACATGGCAACAGGCTTTACCGGGCAGGGAAACGGCAAGGCCTCGAAGGTTTGACACTTCATCGCTCCCCAGGCCTAGAATTCATGAGTCTGGACTCCCATTGACCGCAACACAAAAGGTCAGGGGCTTATTCATCCACTTTAACATTGCACAGATACGAACTGGGTCCAAAGGTTAATACCGCCAATTTGCGGTCGAGCATCTAGACAACTCGTGTGCCTCGGCACAACCCATCGAATACACTGTTTTCTTCAAACCAACACAAGGCAACCTGTTCCTGAAGTATTTCTGGAACAATGTCTGAAAATTGGCTGCACAATGCCTCGGATAGGTGCTCTTGTCACTGGTCCTTAGGCTCAACTATTACAGGTGGTTGCATAGGGAGCAAGACGCATTGGGAACGCAATTTGCACGGTCGTCCGAAGCCCCATGGCCAACTCATAGCTGCATGGAGCATATCCTAAATACTCCTACACCAAGCTCCGTGGACTATAACCTATGTGGCTCCGCGGACACTTGGCATATGTACATTTATTTTTTATTAGCATAACAAACAAGTGAATTGAGCTATGGCGCAAAGTTCATTCATGTTCCAAATGCTATACGACAAAACGTGTTGTGCGCCTTACCATGATCTGCGTTAGTAAGCCTAGTTCTACATTATAAACTACCCGTTTGCCTCTAGTCCCAACGCGCCAACAACACCTCTCCGAAACCTAACTTCCATACTGCTTGGCGTTGCAGCTGAATAAACTCACGTGCAGGCTTACACAGCGCACAATGGAGATGAAGATGCTCAGAATTGTATCGCAGGGAACTATCGTGAGATCCTTCAGGAGCAAAAAGGTCTTCTACGTACCACACATGCCAAGCCAGTGGTGTCATGGTATGTATCAAAAGAGAAGTCGTTAATCAGGTATCAGGATGAACTCCGATAGACAACTCAATATAAATATTAATCACAGTTGTCTCTTTCTCCTTCACAACACACAGCATCTGATTCCCGCATCCTCAAAACTCACAGCTTCTATTCACATCAAGTTAACCGGTAAAATTCCACCGGCATTTGAGCTTCACAGCTCAATCCCAAGACCAAAGAACTAAAACTTTTCAGAACCCCAACATCAATCACAATGTTCGCCTCCGGTTGGAAGAAAACCCTCAGTGTCGCAGCCGTCGTGCTCGCACTCTCCAGCGGCCAAGTCCTCGCAGCCTGCACCGACGGCCCTGGATGGACCCCTGAAGAATTTGCCGAATACCAGTCCCTCAACGACACCACTGGCTGGGCCGGCATGGAAAAGCTCGCACAGTGCACCATCGACGCCGACGAACTCACTCCCGCCGCACCCCATGGAAGGTTCGAAGCTCGAGCTGGCGGCCGCGAGTGGCAGGGTTACAGCTCTAATGGATGCTCTGGCGCCAAAACCGCTGTCACGTCCGGCTTTGGATGCGGTGTTTGCGTCTCCGCTTCCAACTTTTATTTCTACAGCGGTTGGCTGTGGAGGGAGCGCGCGGCGAACCCTTATCCTACTGCTGATTACTATACTCAGTCGGGTTGCCGTGGAACTAAGCTTCATCACCAGGGTATTGAGGGTAGCCAGACGACATCTTGCAACAACGTCAATCGCGCTGCGTCTGTTATTCTCTACCAGGGTTGTTAGTTGGAGTCACGAAAGAGTTGGATATTGATGCTGAAAATCAGGAGGCGGAGGAACAGGGTTGGGGGGTGGAGGATGTGTAGGAAGGGTTAAGAGCGCTTTTGGACATTCGTTTATACATACTTTTCGCAATTTTTGTATCTTTTGCAATTGCCGAGTGGCTGGAATGTACTGTTTAGGCTATCAGTCAATTTAAAAGATCTTATAACTCGCAGTGACACGGAACAAATGTGTGCAGGGCTTTAATCATCTTGTCCTAATTTCTAGTTCCTATTCTACCAGATCCTGCTTACGTTCAGATCTATGTAAACTCTTTAATCAAGTAACAAAATGAAACCATATTGGTGGTTGCCAGTTAGAAAATGTGGGTGACCTCAAGTCCAAAATGTTTCCCAATATGTGGTGAGCGAATGATAACAACATGGTTTTCATGCTATTTACTGAAATCAGGTATTGCACATCGGATTAGTAATACCAAAGATGCAGAAGAAATCGTGTTTGTTGTAAAGATTAGCACTGTTTATTTTACTCTGGAATGACATGGTCTTTGGCATCGACACCCGCTTTCCATCGATAGGTCGATGCAACATGCTCGTCCGGAGGACCTGTCTGTCCCTTGGCTCCATAGAAATTCTCTCGGTAAGTACCACCGGGAACTGCATAGTCATCCCAAAACATTCCACGCTTTCTCAACTCTGGTAGCAGTAGTTCTGAAACATCTTTGAAGGATTGAGGAAAGAGCGCATATGCCTGTGCATGTGTTAGTTCAATATCAACGCTCACAAGAAAGTTGACTTACGATATTGAACCCATCGACATCGGCTTCGTCGACCCATGTTTGGAAGCCGTCTGCTATCTGTGATGGAGTTCCGACAAAAAGAGGACCGATTCCGCCAATGCTGATATGCTCTGCCACTGTGTGCTTAGTCCATTTGGATGTACCGGGCGAGAAACGGGCGAAGCCCTCCACTGTAGACCGCACCGCATTGCTATCAACGTGGCGCAACTCCTCTTCGTCACCATACTTTCCCAGGTCGATCCCAGTCCAGCCACAGAAAAGTGCCAATGCACCTTCTAACGACGCATACTTCCTGTACTCCGCAAGTTTTGCTTGTGCCTCCTCTTCTGTCCTGCCTATAATGGGAGTTGCAAGAGCTAGAAACTTGATGGAACGCCCATCTCTTCCAAACTGCGACGATGCAATCTCCCTGATCTCAGCAATGTTACCTTTGCACACAATGGGCGCGTGCGCAGAAACAAAAATGGCTTCTGCATTTTGCGCCGCAAAAGATTTGCCTGCTTTCGAAGCACCCGCTTGCAGGATCAACGGAGTCCGTTGTGGACTAGGCTGGCAGATATGCGGACCAGGTACCTCAAAGTACTTGCCCTTATGATTGATCTGTCGGATCCGATCTGGATCAGAGAACATACTCTTCTTCAGATCTCGAACAACAGCATCGTCTCGCCAAGACGACTCGAAAAGCTTATACATGACCTTGACATACTCTTCAGCTTGGGCATAGCGTTCATCGTGCTACACAAGTCAGCGACATACTGTTATCAGCAAGAACACCTACTGGCAACTGCTCTTTCATGCCCATGTTCCTCGCAGCGGAGTCCAGATAGCTTGTCACAATCTACTAAAATTAACAGGAGTATCTTTGGTCGGAGTCGGAGTTGCTTACATTCCAGCCTAGTCTGCCAAGAGTCAGTAACTGAATCAGTATATAGGGAAGAAGAATATTCGCAACATACCGGCCCTTTGTCAGATGATCAACAGTAGATAGTCGTCGAGCCAAATGATACGGCTGCTCATAAGTAGTCGACACTGTCACGCCAAAACCAATGCTTTTGGTCGCTGCAGCCATTGCACTGACAACTGCTAGCGGCTCGTTGACTGGCCACTGCGCAGCTGACCTTATTGCTGCATCAAGATTGCCATTGTACACATCGTAACCCCCAAGAACATCAGCTATGAAGACGCCATGGACTTTGGCCTCCTCGAGTAGCTTTGCAAGGTCTACCCAATGGTCGATGTTATTGAATTCATGAGAGCGGTCGTCAGGATGTTTCCATAACCCTGGTGACTGATGGCCACTGCCTGTACAGAATCCAGAGTTAGTTCTCCAAATCTTTCTCCAACTGTCATATACAAAGTATACTGATTCTGATAGGATGTAGCGTGTATCAACCTGGACTTACACATTTCCACAAAGGCATTTATGATCAACTTCTTTTTAGGCTTGTCGTCGCCATTCTTTTGCCTCCCATTTTTCGTAGCTTCACCACCATTTGCTCGCTTTCTTTTTGCCATGTTTAGCGGTTGTAGGTGTCCGGAGTTTGGCTGTTCAATCTCGCCGAGGCACATGCGAGTAGGTTGAGGCGGATGATGTGATTTCACCCGCCTTTAACGCCATCGCTTATCTGTAAACTCTAACAACACTCGAGCCAGGATACAGTAATCCGAACCGCTACTTCTCAACGCTCTCCTCCGATATAGGAATTACTCCACTATTGTAGTACATTTCTGGTAATGATAGTTCGGCCCTTCGCTGCCATCTTACCCCGCTGCCGTGTCACGCCAGACTACTCCAACATGGCGACAACCCTCTTACTCCACCCAATGCCTTCTTTCCAGGGACGCACGCACGCAGGTCAAATGCATGTTTAGCCTGTCTAGCATACGACGCACTATGACGAACCTTTATGACGGGACGCGACATGCGTGGGGCTGTCGGCAAGACACTCACACAGTATGACTTTGGCGCGGGTGCAGGAACTTTGAATGACCTTAAAATGTCTCACTGAAGCCATTGATGTTACAACTAACGATGGAATCAACAAAGAAGCGCACACGAAGCTCCGCAGCGCAATCGCCTTCGAGATCCTCACCTGGGAAGAGAGCGAGAACACAGAACCAATTTCAACAGAGAACATTAGTATCACTACCACCTTCAGAACAGCATGCACTGCTGTTACATGCAGCCCGCCAGCCATATGACCTCACAACCAGTCACGCTACCCCAGCCATCAAACTTGGGAATGAACTCCTGATCAAGGTTGAAGCGATTGGGCTGAATCCGATTGACTGGAAAGCACCGTAAGCCTTGAACCTGGTGGCGCCGCTCCTGTTTTCTCTCCATCTCACATTCAACAGTGATTTTGGTTTCGGAATTCCGACACTGCCATATATAGCAGGTCGAGAATTCGCTGGGACTGTTATCAAAGTAGGAGACGAAACATCGTCGCGTTTAAAGCCTGGCGATGTTGTAACTGTACCGTCCACTGATTATCGCGATCTCCGCAAAGCTGCATATCAACAATACAGCATCGCTTCGTCATTCAACACAATCAGGATCCCAAAAGATATTTCTATCAACTCTGGTAGCATCCTCGGTGTTGCTTTCGTATCAGCCATCCTCGCCTTAGGAATATGCATGGGCGTCAACTTCAGCAGTATCGAAAATGGTCCTGATCTCCTCAAGATGGTACGAGACCTAAACCCTGAAGTACTTCCTGCAGACATACGTCAAGAATGCCTCTCCAGCATCTCGCACACTGAACGTGCCAATCCCGGGGATTTCCTCGTAGTCTGGGGCGGCAGCTCAACCTGCGCCCACGTAGCAAAGCAACTCGCCCGTCTCGCAGGCCTCAAAATCATCTCCGTAGTCGACACGGCGAAGCATGGACTCAGACTCTCAAACACCGACCACATCCGCAGCGACCTGGTTGTCGATTCGCACGATCCGCAGCGAGCAATACAGATTATCCGGGCTAGCACGGGTAACAGCGCACGCTTTGGCTTCGACACAATCGGCAAGGAAACGGCTACGCACCTCCTTCATAGCCTGGCGCATCCAAGCGAGCATGCTAAGCATTTGGACCGCGCGGGGGCAAAACCCCCAACTCCACCGTCTACCCCGCTTGGGGAAAGCCCGCAGATTACTCGCTCGCATCTAGTGGGTATGACCGGATTGCCTAAAAAGGACGTGCCGGCTGGTGTGGCATTGCATAGTGTCCCTATAAAGCTTTATCATGAGGTACCCGAGGTAGGTGAAGAGATTAGTGCTTGGTGTGAGCGGCTGTTGATCAAGGGTCTCTTGGTGCCGCCGGATGTCGTGGGGGTTGTAAAGGGTCTGGGTGAGATTAATGAGGGACTGAATAGAATGCGGAGGAGAGAGATTAGTGGAGGAAGATTGGTAGCTGTGCTTGACTGATGACTAAGGGGAATCTTTGCATTCAATTGGTAATACGGAAAAATTGACATAGGCGTTGGCGGTATAGTGCATCTTGTTCAATACCAAGGTCGTTTATATAGTTGTTTAGGTATTTGCTTGAGGTTGCAATGATCTAAAGAGTGCCTAACAGTTTTCCACGCGGAAAATAGTATTACGAATGCATTTCTATTCTCAAATCTACAATACCCACTGGCAGTTCTCGCTCTAACACCGTTCTACCAAGTCTCACTACTATCCCTTACTTTCCCACCTCCGGCGTTGCATCCTTCGCAACAACCCCCGAATCCACCTGCTCAATCGCCGTCAATTTCTTGCCAAACTCCTTGATTACCAACCACGCCGGCAAAAGCGAGACTCCCCACAATGCGAAATTCCAGTAAATCGCTCCCACCTCTGCAAAAATCTTGATACTGGTGATACCATAACTGACCGCCTGCCACGCGCTCTCCGTGCCTCTGAGAAGCGCCGCATATCTAATAACTTCCTCTTCATTCTCCGCCAGATTACCAATGACAAAGTACAGGAACAGGTAGTTGATTTGGAAACCGATGGTCAGGAAGATGAAGACTGTAAAGGAACGGCCGAAGCCATCAGATACCCAGTCGTAGGTTGGTCGTGAGTCGCGGAACTCCGTGACGAGAACAGTGGCCCAAATCCACCATGCGCCCTGCAGCGTGGCGATGACGGCGAAGGAAGTACGGGCGCGAATTCGTAGCGCAATGGAGGTGCGATCGAGGTAGGTGCCGAGAAGGTTACCGCAGATCACGGCAATGATGCCTGAGAGGAAGGAACCAAGGGCTCGGGCGCGGACTGAGAACCAGACTATAATTGTAAAAAATTGATTAGCTTTTTGCTTTCAAAATAAAAGAAAAAGAGGGTTTCGAGGGAAACAAAAGTGTAACTTACGAGCCAAGTAGGTAAAAAAGACTGCCTCAGCGAACACAGCCTGCCCAATCCACAGCACAATGAGGAGAAACCTCCTCGTGAAAAACAACCTCCCCGTCTCCTTAATCTCAAACCACGGATCCTTTGCAATCTTCAATTCCACCTTCTTGCCATCCTTTCTCTCTACCTTATCAGGACTATTCAAAAAACAGCCTACAACCGGTCCGATACACTGCAACGCAATGAAAATCTGATAAACAGTATATGTGACTTTGCCAGCTTTGTCACGTTTCGAATTCAACCCAAGATTGATTGCGCCGCCGAGAATCTGGCCTCCGAGACGGTACGTGAGCCAGTATCCGAGGGCTTTTCCTTTGTTCCAGGGTTCGGGGTATGCGATTGCGATTGCGGCTTCGGCCATCCAGAAGACGCCTGCGGAGATACCGCAGAGGGAGGAACCGAGGTAGACGAACCATTCTGTGCCGTATCTGTTGTTTGTGTACTATGTGTACTGTCAGCATCACATGTACTGGCAGACAGAAAAAAATGTGAAAAAGATGGGACTTACGAGAGCAGCTGCGTATGGCGCATATCCAATTCTAAAACAACGTTAGTTTGAATGTAAAGGAATGGCATTGGGCTGGAAAGAGAGCAACTCACGTTCCAAAAATCAAAGCACCCTTGATCCCGATGTACTTTACAAGCACGCTGCTAAAGTAACAACTAACCACCATCAAGCAGAACGTAAGCGCATTTCCTGCGTTCACGAGATGCGGCGATTGGGCGCCTCCAGCACCCAGACTATTCATCGCACCCCATATTCCCGGCGCGCTGAAGTTGCAGAGTCCGAGAATTGTGATGTTGAAGAATGTAGAGCGGTACCATCGCACTGTACTAACATTAGATATTTCGAAACAAACAAAACATTGAAAAGCACGACGAACCTGGATGATCCCTTTTCCCATATTTAACATCACTTGCCGATTCTATCGACGAAACCTTGTGATCGTCCGCCATAGTTGAACAAATCGTATATATGTATATATCCGTTTTGCAAAAGAAGACAACAACAAAGTGGACAAACCCAGTAGTCCTTCCTGTCAAGAAGAAGGAGAAGAAAAAAAGAATCCAGGCAGATCCCCCTCCTATCTATCTACTCAAGATAACAAATAACAAGCATCATTCCAAACCCAACTAACTCATCCATATCCCGCCTCCATATCCCGTGTCTCGCGCGCGACCAAAAAGCCTAGCCCCATGCCCTGACCAGATGTGCGAATACTAGGTCGCTGTGACGTGCTTTTCCGCTCACATCCACACACACACACACACACACACAGAGAGAGAGAACACTCCACCGGCCGAGTTAATCATTTTTCACTTCCGCAACCACATAACAAATAATAATACTTCCGAATTTCGGCAAACTTTAATTTTTCTTTTGTTCCCTTGCGCCGCACATGCTCCGTTGGTTCCGCATGTGAGCAGCGGACTACTTGCACGTACCGAGTCGGGCCGATTCCGGGTGGGAAAGTAGTACGTTGGCGACAGTATGGGCGGACAGCACGCCATTTTGCAGTTGTGGCCAAGGGGAGGTGTTCGTTTGCTGACGGGTATGTCAGGGCGGGGCAGAGGAGAGCGCGGGGGGGTTGCTGTTGGAGTAGGTAGGGGGGTGGGGTGGAGATGGGGAGGATGACGGAATAGATAGGGAAATGTCGTGATTGGAGGTATTACTGTGGATGGTAGTACCGTACTGCACGGGCGGATGGAGAAGAAGGTAATGTTAGTCATGTTAGTAGGTATATTTGTAGTGGTGAGTCTACGCGCTGTTTTTTTTGGGTGTGCGAGGGAAGAAGCGGTCAAGACGTAGGGAGGCACAGAGATGATGGGGATAGAGAGTTTGTATTGATCAGAGTCTATAGTTGGTGCAAAGTAAAGTATGTACGGTATGCAAAAGGAGCGGAGCCACGGAATGAGAAACCGTTCAATTCTTCTTCTGCGAGCCTGGGAGATCCCACCAAAGTTCGTGAAGATTTCTTAGGTCGACGTCTTGAGGTGGCTTAAGGTAGGAGGTGATGTCCACCGATGGATCCAGTTCAGCTTGCGTGTACCCATTGCCAAAGTACGTGAATCGGTTGCCTTTGTCCTCTCTTTCATACTCCCAGTCTTCCCAGCGTGGTTCGCGTCTGATGATAGTAATGTGAGCTGCTGAGCCAGGCCAAAGCCCGTGAATGCGCTGACCAGGGAGACCGCCATTATTCCACGATGAGCAGTTATCTGTTAGCACTGTAGTTGGGAAAAAAGCGTCGCAGTAGTCGACAAAGTCGTCAGTGGCTTCTTTCGATGGTGCAAGAGACTTGATTCCTTGAGAAGAGACCTTGCGGAAGACTTTGGCGAAATAGGCGAGTGATGTTTCCACACCTTGTGGGACGGTGCCAGAGGGCCCTGTGGCATGGGGACCAGCCAAGAAAAAGAGATTCGGGAATCCAGGAGTGGCAAGTCCCATGTATGTGTATGGGAAGCCCCATTTTCCATCGGGTTTCCAGGCTTTGTTCAGATCTTCGCCATTTGCTTTGATGGGAAATGGAGGGACCAGATCCGTATTTGCTCCTGTAGCGCAAAATATAGCATCGAATTCATAATGCTTCCCATCTACTGTTTCGATGCCAGTGGGCGTGAAGCGTTTGATGGGTGTTTTAACCAGTTCAGCATTGTCTTCGGTGAGTGACTCAAGGTAACCTGGCCCGGGTGTCAAGCGCCTGCAATGCGGCGAGAAGTCTGGGATTAGACCATCTAGAAGTTCTGGTTTCTTTGCGGTGCGTTTCTTCATAACCTCGGTGAACTGCTCCTTTATTCCAGCGTTTTCTTTAGAGCCGCGCACCATTCCGCGAAATCCTCTCCAATATCTATCCTCCAGTTCTTTGCGGAATTTCAGGTACGTTTGGGGATCCTGGAACGACTTGCGCTTTTCTTCAGGATATGGCTGTGGCTCAAAGGTACGCTCGTCGCCCGCCCATGATGTTGCAATCCATGTGGGATTTCGCACAAAGTGTGTGACATGTTTGGATATCCGTTGCAGGTTTGGTACGACCTGAATGCCACTTGCGCCGTTTCCAATAACCGCAACCTTTTTGCCCTTGGGGTCGAAAGAATTGTCCCAGTTCGATGTGTGTCTCAAGTGACCTTGATACTCGTCCAGGCCAGGGTAATTGGGCAGCTTCCATGCATTAAATCTTCCGACTGCGGCGATGACAAAGTCGAACGTCTCGGTTGATGTCTGGCCGTTTTCGAGATTATGCACCTGTAGATTCCATTGGGACTTGGAATTGTCCCATTCTGCTTCGTCAACGCGATGTCGCAGTTTGACATACTTGTACACATCATGCTTCCTCGCCTGCTCTTGCCAATAGTCACGGATCTCAGCACCCTGGGCGAAAATCTCGGACCATTGGGTGTTTGGCGAAAAGGTCGATTGATAGACGTGAGCAGGTATATCACACCGCACTCCAGGATAAGTGTTTTCCAGCCATGTCCCGCTCTAGAATTTTGTTAAAAACGCAGAGATGTGTGGTGAAGTGTAAACTTACCACGTCGCTATTCTTCTCAAAGATGGTCAACTGAAGACCAGGGACCTTGGCCGGCAGCAAGATACCAGCACTAATGCCTGAGAGCCCAGCACCAATCACACCGACTTTGATCTCTCGCACACGGTCAATGTGGCGATTAGGATCAATCTGGAATCTTGAAACGGGGTATGGTATGTTCAGGCTTGGGTGATTAGGTGTATTCACATTCTCCGTTTCTGCTGGGGGTGCGAGGTGCCCTGTAAGCTGCGCAACGCGTTGAGTGGATGTCGCTGCCCTGGCTTCTGGCGTTGTTTTGTCTGCATCAGGGATTACTGAGTTTCGCGCCATTGCTAGATATTAATGGCGAGTGTTGGGTAGTAGCAATGGTGTCTGAGGTGGCGACACTTTGATGTTCCTGGCTTGTACAACGTTTCCCAGGCTGAAATACATAATGTACATATGTCTGTGAGTGGCTCATGGCATCATCTCGGTTATGCCGCTATCGGGTTTCCGTCGTGCATAGATAGGGAAGCACGCCTTCTCCCCACCTGGTGACGGAATGGCCAAAGAGCCTCCGACCCCGCCAAGCATGGACATGCTTACCTGGGAAATTGGAGTCATCGGTAAGAACTTGACGGGCTCAGGAATCCTGAGGCTTGATAATGAAGCTTGGTAAAGGCTTTCAAGCTCGAGGGACCGGATATCGGCACACTGGCGCGTGGGCTGACATGGCATCTCCACACTCCATGTTTTACCCCGCGAGCTTAAGCGGACGACATGGCTTCGGGGAAGTCGATCTGGGGAATGTAAAAATAAATGTGTGTATTTACATGCTAAAAGCAAGTGATTGAGCAGTTTTTCTAGAGCTCGTTGCTCATGAGTCGCTGGCTATGTTGTTATGGGTGGCGGTTTCCAGCGGTTCCGAAGTTCCGACGTTCCGAATCATTGGCAAGAAGCTTCTTCCAACGCTCCTCAACTTTGAGCATCCCGCAATACATACAACCTACCTACCTCTTCGTCCTAACGTGAACAACCTTTCTTTTTTCTCACATGGCGGTGGTCAAAGACAACGTTTAGGATTACGTGAGCGTCTTGCGGGGAAATGGGCGGTATGCTTACTACATGAGCACTGGCTTCGGCGCCGACGCGTTAGAGTTTCAGAGTAAGTAACTCGTGCTCCTCTGCTCGATATCGACTGTCGATCACAACGCGTAGGCGGTTTGAAGATGAACGAGTAGTTCGCCCAATCTGGGTCCAACACATGCGATTGGGGATAGCGTCACATGCAGGTTACGACTTGGAGTGGTGCTACTTTACTGCTTGATACTAGTACATCCTCACCTTCACCAAAGACGCGGTTTCGCAGCTAGTGCAGGCTCCATCCTTTCGGCATGGGCCCTTGGCTGCGGGCCTTTTGTTGATGCCGACGAAACCCATAAAGCCTCAGGCCCAGCACCTCAGTGCTCGTCATCCACGCTGTCGGTGACCCCCGCAACTCACCTTGATTGCGCCCAGTACCGCTACCACAGCCAAGTATCCCAGTAGCCCAGCCGAGCCATCATTGGCCCCCCACAAGGAGCCTCGATGAAGGTTTTGCTCACTTCTGACTGGATTGTCGATCACTGGCAGAACTTCGGCCAAGCCGAGATTTGGGCAATGAGACGTCTTGCGTACGTTTCCGACCGTGGGTGGGTGGAGGGTAGGAGCGAGGCAGACCAGCAGAAGGATGCACTACCTCGGCGCCCACACAATGGGTAGTAGGGTAGGGTATCGTATAGCATAGTGAAGGCGCAGCTCGGATAAGAGCCCAGGGCCGGGATAGGGTGAAGGACGGGGGCCACCAGGCTCGGCGTGCTCCGTTGCAACGTCGAGACCATCCAGTGAACGCCATCGATATTTTCCAGAAGTCCCGTCGGGAGATACACGTGGGGAAACCATTGGAGAAGAACCGCAACGCTGGTGAGATGGATTCCAAAGAGATGACGGGCGGCCACAAGCGAGCCCACGTTCTAGTATCGTTCGCGCTCATTGGCCAGGTGGACTACACTCAGCTCTATCCCGCCGGTCCGCCGCCATGCCTGCCAAGCTACAGCCAAGGCCCGCCCAAGTGACAGAGGAGGTGTTGGCATCGGCTTGATGTCTCTTTTCTGTCTGATCAAAACCGAGAAGCATGTCAACATTCTCACGCTCCACACATGTTGCCAATGAGAGGCCTGCTTTGAGCACACGTTCTCTTGGCAGGACCTCTCACGTTGCGCCTTTTGAGTGGCGGCCGACTAAGGCATGCAACTTTCTTGCATGCAGTGTCATTCTGTAGGTATAGTTCGTTCCCTGAGGTTGCTGGGGTGGTCCCGACGAATACGGCCTGGAAGCACCGTACATGGCCGAAAATGTGATATGGGCATATATATACATCTGACCCAATCTCTCTTTTGATCATCATCTCAGCACTCCTCACTTGCTCACACGCAGCCTGTATCCAGAGAGGATCCGCCAAGATGCCGCGTCTCACGCAGTACAACTATGTCTTTGCCATAGGCACCTTCTTTGCCATGCTCGATGCATACAACAACGGTGCTAGTACGTACCAAGTCGCCCAAGCACCCATAGGATACAATGCTAACTTTTTCAAAGATGATGTTGCCAACGCTTGGGCTACTTCTGTTTCCTCCCGTTCAGTTTCCTACCGCCAGGCCATGATCCTGGGTACCATTTTCGAGATGGTGGGTGCCATCACTGTCGGTGCCCGTACCGCCGATACCATCAAGAACGGTATCATCCCTACCAGCGCCTTCAAGGGTGATGCTGGTGTCCAAATGTTGGCATTCACCTGTGCCCTCGCTGGTGCCTCTCTCTGGGTCATGTGGTGCACTAAGCACTCTGCCCACGTCTCGTCGTCCTACTCGCTCATCTCCTCGGTTGCTGGTGTCGGTGTTGCTGTCGCAGGTGCTTCTCAAGTCCAATGGGGATGGAACAAGGGCAAGGGTCTCGGTGCTATCTTTGCTGGTCTCGGAATGGCTCCCTTGGCCTCTGGATGCTTCGGTGCAATCATCTTCATGTTGATCAAGCTCATTGTCCACATCCGCAAGAACCCCATTCCATGGGCCATCTGGACCGCTCCCTTCTTCTTCCTCATTGCTGGAACCATTTGCACACTGTCCATCGTCTACAAGGGATCGCCCAACCTCGGTCTTAACAAGAAGCCCGCGTGGTATGTCGCTACCGTCACCATGTCTTGCGGTGTCGGTCTCGCCGCCCTATCCTTCCTCTTCTTCGTCCCCTACCTTCACGCCAAGGTCGTTAAGCGTGACGCCAATGTACGCTGGTGGCACGCACTTCAGGGACCTCTTCTGTTCAAGCGTCCCGCTCAAGACAACGCCGACGCTGCCGTTGTTCCCGACTACGCTGTCGTACAGGACGATGATGAGATCACCCTCGAGCACAACAACAGCGACTCTGAGATTGGCACTGGTGCTGAGAAGGGTACCGTCGTTCAGGAGCAGCGCCAGCTTACTTACAAGGAGCTCGTTCAGCAAGGTGAGGACCGCTTCCACGCCAAGCTCAGGGCTAAGACTGGACCTCTCGCCTGGGCTATGCGCTACCTCCACGAGAACAAGATCGAGACTGGTGAAATCTACGAGAAGAAGAACATGATCATCACTCTCAAGCGCATTCCCGCCCAGCTCGTCGTCGGTGCTCTCTACGGTGTAAACTACGACATCCACGCTGCTCAGAGTGGTATCCACGGTACTCCCGAAGGAAAGCGTATGGAGCGTGTCTACGGCCACGCCAAGAAGTACCCCAACGAGGTCGAGCACACCTACTCTTTCGTCCAAGTCATCACTGCCTGTACTGCCTCTTTCGCTCACGGTGCCAACGATATCGGTAACGCTGTCGGTCCCTGGGCTGTCATCTACAGCGCCTGGAACACCGGCGAGGCTTCCCGCTCCAAGGCTCCCGTCCCCATCTGGCAACTCGCTGTCCTTTCTGCCACCCTGTCTCTCGGTCTCATCACCTACGGTTACAACATCATGAAGGTCATGGGTAACAAGATCACCTACCACTCTCCCAGCAGAGGTATGTTTCTCCCCAAACAACACTTCCCCCCCCTCCTCTTTTTTTTCTCGCATCATTTTTACTAACTCGCTCCCAGGTTGCTCCATGGAAATGGGTGCCGCTCTTACCGTCCTCATCTTCTCGCAATACTCGCTCCCCGTCTCAACCTCCATGTGCATCACTGGTGCCACAGTCGGTGTCGGTCTCTGCAACGGTACTTATAAGGCTGTCAACTGGCAGCGTGTTGGTCTCCTCGTCTTCTCCTGGATCATGACCATTCCCATTGCTGGTACGATTGGTGGTCTTTCCATGGGTATCGTCCTTAATGCTCCTCACTTTACTTCTTAATATGTTACTCCCTCGCCTTTTTGAGGTCAAGGGGATGATATTTTTTTACTTGTCATGATACGCATGGGTTGTATAGTACTAGAACGAAAGTGCTTTTCGAATTTATCGACTGGATAGACATTGTCTTTGCGATGATTGCTTGAGTGAAGTTTTTTGTGATGAAGGGACTGGCGGGTGTGTGAGATTTAGTAGTAGGCTTTGTCTGCACCAAAAAAAAAAGTCATGTTGAATATCTCAGAATTTTTCACATGAAAATGTGTATATACGCGCTTGGGCACGAGTGTAACGTGACTGTTCTGGAGTTAGTATCTCAGTATGTATTACCCTGTAGCTTCATCTGGCAGATACCGTGACATGCACTTAGTCCATGCCCATTGCACAAGTGAACAGCGCTTGTCATCACATATACAATTTGTTAACATTACTTCGTGCAATATACACGTTCTAAATATATTTACACTATCCTCCCTCTCCCCCCCCACTCACCTCTCCCCAATCTCAATATTCTCATACACCGCCACCCCTTTCCCCCTGAACGAATTCGCCGCACCCGACGACGACACAAACGTCTGTTTACTCCCACCTTGTTGTTGCTGACTTGTATCGTCGGATTTGTACCAGATACCGATGATGCGCTTGGCTAGGTAGTGGATCTGCGGGAAACACGTTACGGCGATGCTGAGGAAGGCTTCGATGGCGGACCATTTTACGACGGGGACGTTGGACCCTGATGGTGTGGGGTTAGTGGGTTGAAAGGTGGGGCTGCGAAGGGGGGGGGTGAGGGACGAACAGGATCGGTTGTAGGAAAAGTCGGATTCGAGAAGGATTGCTATTCGTGTTACAGATGTGCCTGTTATGCTGTTTTTTTCCAATTGGGTAAGTATGGTGAAATGAAGATATCCGCGAAAGGGTTGGGAGAGATAGGTTTCCGGGGGTGCTTACAGGAAACCGACGCAGAAAACGAGTAAAACGCCTAGTTTTCTCTGCCAAGTGATTTTCAGTTGAAGTAATCTGGGTATTGGCAGAACCGTGATGATGCCGTCCATGATGACGTTTGTGATGTTGAAGGCGTAGTTCAGGTTGTTGCGTTGGACGCTGCAGATTGGGTTTTCGGGCTGGGGTATTAGGGTGCCTTGCCACTGTTGCCAGACGAAGGAGATTGGGAGGCACTGAAGGAGATGGGCTAGAAATATGGATATCAAGAGACATGTGCATATTCCGATGAAGAGGTAGGATAGTTGATGGATCCGGCCTATTGGGAAGACTCGGAGGTAGAAAGTTAGAACGGTGATTTTAGTCATAAATGTGAGGGTGACGTAGCCAAGCTCCTGCAAAGTGTAGTACTGTTTGGATTAGCATGGGTCGTGTGTTTGCTTGGAGGGAATTTATACTTTGACCACGTCAGTAACCTTATGAGGTTTGAGCATCCATGCATCTTGACCTAGGCCAGAGTCAATTGCCAAGAGGATGACTGCAAGATAGGCTGCAGCTAGTGGCTGTGTTGGGAATCAGTATCGCAATTCGAAGCGTACAGTCAGGGTATACGAACTACAAGTGCTGTCGCGAGCCAATCGTCAATGCCCCATTCGACAGAGAGAGGGGGCAAACGTGTGATGAATCGTAGTATCAGGGCTACAAAAGCGATGGAAGCTACAGCGATCACCTCGTTGAATAGTGGGGCTGCCTGATTTCGGATTGGATTGTTGCACGTGGAATGGTACAGGTAAAGTCCTTCTGTTACTTTTGTTAACACGACTACTTTGATAGAGGGGATTGTAAACTAAACAAACCGTAATAACCAAGGACTGGGCAGAACCACGCGAGGCAAGTGTCAAGACCCTGTGCAATATCTGGAATTGGGCAGAAACACGAAGGGTCAAGAGGATTGCATCCGGTCATTTCAAGATATCCGAGAGTGCATGCTTTCTAGGTGACGTCAATGTCAGCTTGGAATCGAAAGAGCACTGGTCTCGTTGGCTGACTGCAAAGGCAAAAAGATTGTAGTGTAAGCATACCGCGCATTGAGGAATTTCATCAAATACACCACCAACTGTGACGTTCAAAAACCACCTCTGTCTGAAGCCATTGTCTCCTGGGCTTTGTGCTTTTACACTGCAAATACTAATTGCCAAAGCAGCAACAAAGGCAAGCAATCGCATGTTTTCCCAGTAGCCGCAGATGACACCGCAGACCACGGGGGACGCAAAAAACTTTCAACCCGTCACTTGGATGAACGAAAGCTTGGACCAAATGACGTAAAAGAGAGAGAGAGAAAGAGAAAGTCAGCAATAATATATCCGACCCACAGAACTCCAAAGAGCAACAAAGACAAGGAGGGAAATCCGGGCAAAGGGTTAAGTTGCTTATGGGGATTAGAGAATGCTAAATGCGACGTCTTTCGCCCAAAACTGTGCTAAAAAAGATGAAACTCGCAGGGCTCCTCGCGAACAACCTAGCGGGCTTCGCCCCATTACGTTTCCCCCAATCCCCTTCATTGCCAAACCCAAGCGAAAAAAAAGAAGTACACAAGTAGATAAAGTAGAGGGAAAGTCATTCTCCGTCCTAGTGTAGATCGATATCTACTCCTACTGTCAGCACCATAGAATTCCACCCCAGTGTGCAGCGGGACGCCTTAACATTTGTGGCTTTATTTTTTCCATCGCAGGATCGACTGCCGTGTTTTGGGGGTCCAAAGCTAAGACGTTTGGTGGAGAACCACTCGCTGTTTTTCTTTTCAGGAGCCGAGACACTTCGTTGAACGGCTTTGTCAAAACGCCTCCAGGGACCCTGCTTTGCACTGTCATGGCGTTTTGGGGTCATTTTTTCTTCTTCTCCGCGATTGCTGATTCGACGTCTGTTTTTTGGCATGATAAGGCTGGATTCGGCACTTGGTCAGTTGGCGCATGCGTCATAAATAAGATTTGTTTTTAATGTTTGATGAAGAGGTCGAAAACGATATCGCCAGTTACAGACGCAGTATGGGTAAACGAGATGGATGATTTGTTGAGCATTGCATAGCATGCATATGTATGTGCGTATGTGTGTGACTTAGAGGGGCGTTGTTGCATCTTTGTTTTGCGGCAGTCGAGCCCCCATGTGGAGACGTTTGAATGCATTGTTATCGCTGACACGAAATGAACATGTATGCTTTTTGTTTCAAAATACCGTTAAAATCGATCGGCGCTCGACTGGGGCACGGCAGAAGCAATGGGGATGGCTGTTAGTGGTCAGCATGGGTACATGTTTCCGCTGCCGTGTTGCTTATGGTCAACGTCTCCATCTTAGTCGTGGCTGTCACAGAAAGATGCATGACAGCCTTAGCACAGCCAGCCATGGACGCGCTTGTGGAATCTGGACCTGGGTTCAAATATGACTTGTACTAGCAGATGGGCTGTCATGATCGGGCCCCTGGACTACCACGTGTTGCCCAACGGGAATCTCCCCAGCCGTGCACGCCTGTGCCAAGCGGTACCTGGAGCCAGGCACATCACCGCCCGTACTGACAGCACACGGCTCAGGGCCAGAATAACCTCACCAAGAAATCTTACCAAGAAATTACCAACAGACTGGCCATGCTCATTGGCTCATTGGCCTGTATCGATCTTTTGCTGTATGTTCGGAAATTTTCAAATGCTCGCTTTTATATTGCGATGCTGATCTAACCACTCAATTACCTACAGTTTACCCCTTCTGCTATCGACGGCTTGTCTCAGCTTCTTGATCACATCACCAGGGTCTGCAGCGCCAAAGACAGCGCTGCCCGCAACAATGACATTGGCGCCGGCATCAGCAGCCTGATCAATCGTCTTTTCGCTCAAGCCGCCGTCAACTTCAATGTGTAACTCGGGATACTTTTGTCGGAGAGCAGTTACTTTGGGGAGTTCGGATGCCATAAAGGACTGACCACCAAAGCCAGGTTCTACCGTCATGACCAAGACCATCTGGCAACGTCAGCATTCATGCTTGGAACCATGCGGTACTGCGCAGTGCCACTGTTGATTCGTGAGGTTATTGATCCTGCAGCGGGAACAGCCAGCGGCGTAGGCGGCCGAGGGCCGATGCATCGAGTTGCAAAGGTTTGCATGCTTAAGCGCCGCCACAGCGTGCCGCCGACACCCAAACATTGTCAGCCCTATCAGCCTCGGACTGGTCGACCACATTGGCGGCCCGTCTGACCAATATATACCGCGCGCATTCCCATTGTGCTATTGATTCCGGTGGGCGTAGGGGTGGCAGTGCAGGGAATATAAACTTACATCAGGTACCTCTTCCTTGTTTGGGCTGTCCAATATCTCCCACAATACGTCAACGGGCGTGCTTGGCTTAATGGCAATACCGGCTTGCATGCCCTCGGCGTGTATGAACCGAATCAGTTCTTTTGGCGATGTTTTTTGGTCCGACTGTGTGCTGGGTGAGTCTGCAGCAGTAGACGACACGGCGGCCTCGTAGTGGAAGCAGTAAAGGTCGCAACCGGCCTTCTTGAAGTCGCGGACCCAGCGCTTGGGCTCGGCAATCATCATGTGGCAGTCAAAGGTGCCCTTTGCATATGCCGTGGCGGGGCGGTCAACGTGTGAGCGGATCTTTGTGACAACGGGGGCGCCAAACGTCATGTTTGGCACAAAGTGGCCGTCCATGATGTCCACCTGCACATCGTGTCAGTCGCGAGGCTGGCGGGGCTGCGGCTACGGCTACGGCTACGGGGCGCATACATGAAGCCAGTCGGCGCCCTGGGCAATTGTGTCTGAGCAAGCCTTGCCCAGCGCTCCAAAGTCGGCGGACAGGATAGAAGGCGCAATGATGGCGGGCGGTGACATGGCTGGTGAGGTGTGTCTGGGTGTGTTCGCCTTGGGTAATGGCACCAATGGCAGAGAGGGCGCGGTTGGGGCGGGATTCTAGAACGGATATGTAGGTTTGTAGACTGCGTCTGTGCTGTGCTGTGCTGTGCTGTGCTGTACCCGAAGCTCACGATAGATAGCTTTTTGGTGTTGTGACGACATGGCCCAGCGTCACGCCTGCCCCGCCCCGCCCCGTCAATGCCCCGCCCGCATGCTTGGCACGCCTTCACCGCACAGCAAGCCACTTGGACACACGACAACAGCAACATGTAAAGTACTTTCTCGCATACGCATGAAGTCGCTATCACCTCGCCAAACTATATTCCAAGGCTGGCGGTCAGACGGGACGCACTTGGCAGCACGAGATGGGCTGCTCCAGTGGGCGACTATGCTGTCCAAGCAATGCTCGCCGTTTGATTGGCCCGCCGTGCACAAAGCGAGAGCTGCAAATAGCACAGCCCGGCGCGTAGACAGCAAAACATCCAACCACATGGGACACAAGACGGCCTTGCTAACCCGCAACAGCTAGCCTCTGGTAAACACCATCTGCTTGTAGGCGTTGTTGGCCCAATCATGCCCTTCTCCACCGTGGTCACCATGTCGTGGCCACTATTGAACCGCCATTGTCTCTCCACTCCCTCGCACCGTAGCTCGGACAAATCCAACGAGTAGCCAGCGTCTATGTGCAATATATCCCATCGTCGCCGCGCCCGCGCCGCATTCCCTCTTGCTGTCATTCACTTCTAGCCCTTTTCCGAGCCTCCTTTCCCTCGCAAAGCCTTCGTTGATCGAAGCATTCCCCAGTTTTTCTAGTAGGCTGTTGACCAGCGCAGTTCAGGGCTATAGCCCAAACTAATATCCCCATTCTCTTCGGCCCCCGGTACTTCGGTATTTGCATCCTTCTCACCTACGCCGCAATCCCGCCTCCTCGGATTTCAAAAGTATCTTTAGTAATAATTGCAAGAGGCGGTGCTCACGGCCCCCCCAAAATATCATGATGCCCCAGATGCTCCAACCTGCAGTATACCATCCTGCGGCCCCCAGCACCAGGGTACCCTCCAACCATGCCTCGTCTCCGCTGGACCAGAGACAGGCACTTAATAATACCACACACGACGACTGTCCCATCCCCCCTTACTACCTTGCTCAAAGACACTCGACCTCTTCGGCATTCCAGACCAGTCCTACCTCGCCATCGATCGTCGACGACTTCCCTACCCCCAAGGCCCGCTTGTTCTACATGTCTCAACAGTCATCACCGCCCTTGCCTACCCACTCGGCAACCTTCCCGCCACCGAGCCGACAGAGCCGTACCGACAGTGACTTTGACTCGTTGTACGACATCACTGATGATGAAGCAGAGGTGCCTCTTCACGCATCAGCATCAGTCAAGAAGCTTGCAACACAGCCAAGGAGAAGGCGCTACCCATCCATTGTCATCCCCTCGCCATCTGCTTGGCCTACTATTGAGAAGTTGAAGAGTGCCAACTCGGCCATGCCCGTCACTCCCTCATTGATGCTCACTCCTTCACGCCGTTTCCTCGACATGATCAACTCCCATAATCTGCAGGTGCCAGAGCACTCAGCCGCCCCGTCCTTGGACGGCAGCCTCACATCAGAAGAGATGGACAAGCTCAGCTGCCCAGCTACTCCAATATCACAGCGCAGGTGTGGATCCCCCTCAAGCTCCGACTCGTGGGGTCCTGTCCAACTTGACCTTCAAGCCATGGAGACGCTGCAGCACCTTGGCAACTCCCCTTCCACTGAACAGCACGACGCGTCAAGGCAACAAGAGCCAGGAACAGGCGCGACAGGAGGTGAGATGCGCGAAGTTTCTCGGCCTAGTCTCGGCCTCAACATCCCCTCTGCCTTTTTCGGAAATGGATCTTCTGGTAGTACTCCCATCTCTGCTCTCTCGGTCCCATCACCAGGCGGCTTCTTCTCTTCACTGCAATCGACTGCTCGTCACACATGGAGCATTCCCAAGCGACAAGATTCTATCCCAAACACTTCCACTGCTGAGAAGTTCTACAATCTTCCATGGGAGAGGGAGAGCCGCAGAAACACCTCTCCACACCCTGGGCCAGCGGTACCAGCTCCTCCACGCCGAAACTCTACTCTACAAGGATCCACCCTTGATGGTTTTGAGGAGCCACTGCCAACATCACGACCGGTCATACTCAGCCCGACTGACGAAAACGTTGAGATTAAGGAGATCAATCCTAGCAAGACTGTGTTCCAGTACAATGAGAATTACAACGCTGAGCTTCAAAAGGCATCTTCTGCGAATCTTGAGATGACAGGTCGGTGGTTGGAGGAACAAG